TTTTCTGTCGCGCTTGGGGCACTGACAGTTTGCTCTCGAACACTCCGCACGGCGCTGGTAGCTTCTTGTGGTGGATTCCCCTTTTTGGTCGGGAGCGTGCCACGCTTCATTTTGTTTGTTGGCAACTTGTGCGGCCTTGCAAATACGTTCTGCTTTTTGGAGCGTCAAGTCTCTTTCCCTCAGCATTTTCTCGCGCAACTTCTTGTTGTTGGTTCCGAATACCACTTGGTCAAGAATCATAGAATCTGAGGATTCACCAAAGTTGCAGTACCTTGCGTGTTTTCTGAGGTCGCGGATGAAGTGCTCCACTGGCTCCGCTTCGTCCTGCATTCTTGTACGGAAGGCGTACCTCTCATACACCTCGTTCTGCTGGTCGGAACAGTAGTCCTCGAACTTCTGCACCACAGTCTGTCTTTCTTTTGCCCTCAGCAAACGTGAAGTTGTTCAATACTTCCACGGCGTCATCCTCGGGGATGATCAGCAGCGTGGCGGCCTTACCAGCTTCCGTCCTTGGTTTTGGTGGCGTCGTGGCTTGAAGGCACAATTTAAACTTCTGCGTGAAGAGCGTCCAGTTCTTTGTAGCGTATCCAGAGAGGAGCAGAAGGTCAGGCGGCTTCAGAGGTTCCATGAGTGCCTGTCGAGACTGTGGCCGCGTGAGCCACTTTTGACACCGTGTATCGACCGGCGTTCGGTTGATAAGACAGCCGACCGACGCGGCCAGCTCGGTCAACAAAACAGAAGAAAAGTTTTATTAGGATTCCTTATATAGCAGTATATGTGGCAGATAAGAGGCGGCACTGACGTATGACAGGGCAACGCTTACGCTACGCAGTGCACAGGTTGCATCAGTTAGAACGGTACAGATTAGTAACAAACTGTGCATGAATAATCAAAATAAAGCAGTAATCGAGTGTTATTTTCTGTTATTTTCGCTTTTTAATTGTTCTTTTTGCTTGAATTAATAACTTGTATTGACATATTTACTGTACAACACAGACCTGGGCCTGAATATTCGCTAACTTAAACATCGCTCAGTAATTAAAAAAAAACATTAACTAAATAAATTACACTTTTATAATATTAATAAAGCTACATCGTACCCATTACGAGTAAAGAAACTACGCAGATTTCTATTATTCCCTGGTGAAGAGAAAAATATCAGGTACGTTTTTCCATACAAATACACAAGAAGACTGGAAAAGCAGACTGGTTGCTGACTGCTTCAATTTGCAACCGGAAGTCCCGTAGACACTAGCGCCAGCTGAGCCTCTAGCGTTTATTGTAATAACTCTATGGCATAGACCTTTCCAGAAAAAGGCTCCTGGCCGGTTCCATTTCCAGTGTTCGTGCGTACGGCACGTAATTAGCTCGTTTTGCGAAGTGACGAACATGCGCGTGCTGGGCTGAGGAGATCGCACACTGGGCTGAGGACTTATAAATGTTGGGATGGTGTATCAAGCTATCCGGTAGTTTTGCAAGCCTCAATTCGCTCTAACCTAATAAAATGTTTTATCGGTAAGGAATAAAAAGTGGAACTAATAAAGTTCATTCTAAAAAATTCTGCTCCTAAAGAACTCCTATGGATTTTTCGGGTGTCCATCGTTTGCACCCTAAAAAGCTTTTCAAGCACCTACTAAAAAGGTTCTTCGTAAAAAAAAAAAAACAAAAAAAACTATAAGGTTTTTCTAAGCTTTTTATTTTTATTTTTTATTTTTTTTATGCGCGAGAAAACTTTATCGCTTAGTTGCCTTTCCAGTGCACCATGGAACAACAGTGCTTGAGGCGAAACCGTTCTTCACGAGTTGAAAGAGCTCTTAGGGCATCGAAGAACCTTTCAAGAAAGGATTGTGCTTAAAGTGTAGAAATTATCAGAATTTCAAACAACCAAAACTCATAATGAAATATGAAAAAATACAACCAACTGATAACGAAACATAAACATAAGCATTCGAAAACTAACTCAGTTCCTTCTTCGGGGACGACTGTATCCGTTAAGAAGCAGCTTCCTTTGTTTCTGTGAACGGTTATAACTTGAACGTGCAGTAAAGGAAGCTGCTCAACCCTCAACAACCGCAGTCGCCCCCCCCCCCCCCCCCCCCCCCCCCCCACCCCGAAGAAGAGATTGAAATGCTTTTAAAATGTTGGGCCCGTCGCACATTTCGGCGTTTTTCGGTATGCTTCTTAATTTGAACACAATTGGGCACCAACCGTAGTCGGTGACAGGTTAAGAACGCAGTAGATATACTTTCGGCCTCCAACAAGCGCTCCTTTGATCCGTTCTTCGGTTTGAGTACCGACTGATGCCAGAATCTTAGTATAGAGAGTTTTAGTAGATCGTTCCCATGACTCTGGTACCGGTAACCGATTCTCCACACCGCCGCCTTTGCGCGTGCATCGTATTGTTATCGGGTTGTATCGGAGGTGTCGGAACGATCTACTAAAACTCTCTATTGACTGTATGAGGAGCGAAATAAAATGCTCGAACTCGCCACGCTTTTCATTTAAAGGTGTCGACGACTATAGGGAGAGCAAGTCGTCTGCTTCTTGTGCAGAGTGACGTCAGAACGACGCCGAGTTCTGGTTGGCTTTGATGGGAAAGATTGTGGGTAGACCTCAGTGCCAGACGCCTTGAGATCTACCCATTGTTTTTTTTGTTTTTTTTTTTTTTTTTTTTTAATCAGCCAATAAGAGCTTGGCGTTCTGACATCATCGCGACCCCTGTGCAAGAAGCAGGCGAACTTGCACTCCGCGTACGTTTAACCAAAACCACGGTGAAAGAAAAGAGAGGTGTCTGAACTAGAGCACCGCACGGGCCGGAATCGCTAGGCCCGGCCCGACCCAGACCAGTAGAGACACTGCCCGGGCCTGGCCCGAACCTGAGCAATTTTTTTTTTCTTTTTTTTTAATATGAGCCTGAGCCCGATTTGAGCCCGACAGTTTATAAACATGAGCTCGAAGAAGTTCGCAGGCTTTAACCTTAAAACTGTCTAAGCATAAAGCGCGCACTCTCCCACTATGCTGGTGGAATCCATACGTTTTTTTTTTTTGTTTTTTTTTTTTAACCACTTTAAGGCCTTCCAAGTGCAAGACGCATTTTTGTTATTTCTTTTGAACGGCACCGTAGTGACTTCGAATTTTACTTGTCTCTTTTTATTGAACCAAACAACGAGTAAGAACGTGAACCGGTCCACGGGCACTCTCCCGAGCGCGTACGTGTCTGGACTTCGCGCCCTCTGGGGTAAGCCTTAGCAAGGCCAAACGCCCGGGCAACCTTCCACACCGCGCCCCCTCCCCCGCGCCCTCTGGGTTAAGCCTTAGCAAGGCCAACCACCTGGGCAACCTTTTCCCCACCGCGCAGTCACCCGTGACCAAGGGACCGAGCGGGTCCCGAAACGTCGGGCTTATGCGTTTTTAATAAAACTTTGGTTAGAGTCCTCAAAAACTATGTCAATTTCTCCCTAACCAGAGAGACCTCTGTCGAAAATGTTTACGTTTAAAAGATCAATGAGCACACTTTTCGTTATCAACAATTTCCGGCACACGACTGCCGAGGCATGGGCAGAAAAACGTTTCGTTCAAACCCGAGCCCGAGCCCTAGCCTGAGAAAACGCGTGCTGCCCGACCCGAACCCGGCCCGCGGGCCGGGCCGGGCCGATCTTGGGCCCTCGGGCTGGCCCGGGCCCGTGCAGTGCTCTAGTGCTCTAGTCTGATCAAGGCTAGCCAAGGCGGCAACTCTGCAGGCTTGGGTTTCGTGCATAGAAGCACTATCTGTTTAGGGACATTCGTACAAGGCCACTAGGGCAACTGTAAATGCTCCAGTTGCGGAGCAGAGTATCGCGACGGTTTCCAAATTGTTGGCTTCAAGTATTGCGGGAGAAGCGAACGTCACTCCTGCAGGAGAAGCGACGCGAGCAACATGATGCAGCGATTCACCGCGCATGCAGCGTCGTGCATTTCCCGGATCCCTCAGATGGGCACTCGTTCTAGCATTCGAGGAAGCGCGCAAGCTGATTATGGCCGCTTTCAAACTGCGCTCGCGTTATAAAAATAGGGCAGTTCCATAAACTTATTGAGGCGCGCACAATGTCTGAAAGTTCAAGATGCTCCCTGTTCGTCACGTTTCAGTGCAAGATCTATGTTTCGCAAGCGCAAAGCGAAACATATGTCCCGCCTCAAGCCCGGCGATCCCGAAGGTGGCATTCCCGCGAGCGCGGAAGTCAAAATCGGCGCGTGTAACCCCTTCTCCTCCAGTAAGGAGTTTACAGAGAAAGAAAAAGGAATGTTATACTCTGTCATTTAGTTACATGGGCCACGTGCGCAACGCGCCGCGTAGGGGCCTTGTAAACTTGTTCGCGAATTCCCGGTGAGAAGCTCGCTAGGAGCGCTTCTGTTTTCGTCACACTAAAGCGCCTGTAACCTGAGAAAAGTGGCGCCATTCATTGTTGTGGAAATGCTCGAGACACGTGCCGCGCGCCCCTTCGGGAAAAGCATGGCGTCGAAAAATATAGCTGAAAGCTGCGCTGTGCCGCCATGATCCTCCCAAGGGCAGCACGCCACATGTGCCTCGTGCATCGAAGCATCTTGCGCTACTTTGGAAACATGAATGGGCTCTACGCCACTCTGGGCAGTGCACGTGCTACCCACGCAGTTATGTTTTAATTTCAATAGTGCATAAAAGCTTGGCATTGCACGTGCCTGCACCCACAGAGGAAGTTAAACCATCCTCACTCTGGTTTGTGAAGAAATTCCACAAGGCGGCGATGGCCCAAACTTCTCGCCGCCGAACAGGGACGGTTCCTCGACTGGCTCAAATCGGCCTCGTACTAGCCCAGGCGTGTTGCGCCACCTCACGGCGTTTGTCAGGAGTGCGAGCGAACCTTCGCCGCTCTTTCTCTACGGCGAGGTGGAGCCGTTCATACACCTCTCTCTTCCACCTTGGCGAAAAGCCAGCATCGCCCTAGCCTTCATCTCGCGAGTGAAACCCTGCATTGCAGAGGACGGCGCCAGCCGTGAGGGCCTGGACACCTTTAGGGCGTTGGCAACGCAGCGCGGGATCTGCCTGTCCCAGTCCCTGCCGGTGCCCGCGGATGCCGTCGACGCCGACTACGAAGACACGGTCACGGCCCTCATGGACACGCCCAAGGCCAAGGTGGTGATATGCTTCTGTGCCACGGGCACTGTCAAAGGACTTCTGGCCGCCATGCGCAGACAGAACGTCTCCGGCCACTTCATTCTGGTCGCCAGGTAGGCTTGCGCCTCGATCATCACTCGCGACTACCTGAACAACGCGCCTAAAGTACAATGGTGACCAAACTTCTACGGAACACGCAAGCCGTGTCTTTTCTCTTGCAAGCGCTATACTGGCGGCGGGCACGAAACGGTTTTATGACTAGTCAGCAAACTTTCTCGTAATGCCACATCAAAGATGGATGGATGGATAGATGCTCACAGCTGTATCATTTATAACAGGCGGTAGCTTGCGCCACCTATAGCCTAGAAACCAAAAAGGGCCAAAATTATGATTACTACTCTCGCCCTTCTAAGCCAATTTTCTTTTCCCTCAGCCTTTTTCTATCACCAGTCAGTTTGAGATAGAGCACTGCACGGGCCTACTTTTTAAAGCCCGAGCCGGGCCCGCTGACTCTTACGCCGGGGTAGGGTGTACTAAAACTGAGAGGTGTGCTGACCACATCGGCATGTCCATAGGAGCTGGGTGTCGAGTGGCCCAATTCTGCCGAGGTACCTGGGGTAGTGCTGCCAATCGAACGGCGAAACTGTGTGAGAGCGAAAAAAATGATCTCGTTGCCATGACACCCCGGTACACCGTGGTCTTTCAGCACGAGCGACAACCTCGCTGGAGCTCTGCGCGTGTGGAGCATGAGGCGGCACGAGCAGTCTTTGCCGTGCCCACGGGTCGACGAGTCATCTGCCGGCGCCGCTTGAAACCATAGTGAGAGAGAGAAAGAGGGAGAGTGAAAAGCGAACTTTATCTGCACGTCGCGAGGAGCGCGCTGTCCTCACCTGAAGAGTATTATCTTACACCGTGCTCTGAGCCGGCTTGCTAGAACAGCGTGACTGGCTGAAAGAAAACAGTGTAAAGGGTGGAGCGCGCGAGCGTCTTGAGACGCGGAGTCCCGCTCGGCTCGTGCGCTGGCTTCGGCAGTGCTTTCTTTCCCCGTCTTAGTTGAGACGCTGTTTCTGGCAAGTCGGCCCTGGTTTGGAGCGCACGTTCGCGTTTGGTTATTCTTTACTTGAATATTGGCGTGACGAAAACCTCACACGCGCAATGTTTTCAGTCACCGAGAGCTAAACCTTTTCACTCTAGCGACGCTAATACCCCTGTCAGACGGGCTAGTTTAGTGTCACTACAAGCGAGTGCACTTCGCCCTTGGTGTCATTTCTGTAGTGTGCCAAACGGCTCCTTCCTGAGGAACACACTTCGCTTGGAGTGAGTTTGACGAACTCACTTCGCTCGATAGAGCGCGTGGAATCAGTAGGAGTGTCTCAACAGTAAAACATAACAACACAGAAACCAAAAGCGTTGCGTAAGTCTTATTTTATAAAGAAAAAGAAATTCGCGAAAGAGACGGCATGTAGAAGAGTAACATTGCAAAAAAAAAGTAGTGGGGTGGACTTGGAGTTTAGGCTTACCTGAATCAAGATTAGCGCAGTGGTGAATTGGTAAAAGACGACGACAAAGTCAGTCATTCATGGCTGTCTTGGTTAGCAGAGAATGATAGAGTCTACTTTTGTTTCAGCATGTAATTATTTGAGACGACACGATAATTATGATCTGATTAGGCAGTGTCAGGGCCTCCTCGTAGGCTTTCGTGGAACGAAGCGGAACGCCAAAGTTGGATATGCTTCGTTCTTTATATTGGCTTGCGATCATCGATCAGAATCATCCAATTAGCGTAAAAATTGTTCATTAAAGCAACGCTGTTTTAGAGCACAGCTCCTAGGCACCCCTTTCTGAATTAAGCGGCGTCGGCGTAACCGCGCGTTGCATTAAGGGCTGTTTCCCAAAATGACGTCACACGTGACGTCACGTGTGACGTCACGAGGGTAAACTTTTCCCGCTAAATTTTGCGGTAAAAGTTTTTTGCTCAGTTTAGTGGAAAATTTTTCCGTTAAATTTAGAGGAAAAATTATATCCGTTGGACGTCACATCTAAAATTTCATATGACGTGTCATGTGACGTCACACGTCAATTCAGCGGGAAAATTTCCCGGCTAAATTTAGCGGGAAATTTAGCGAATTTTTTATGCTAAGTGGGATGGGAATAGGAGAGGAGGGTACGGAGGGGGAGCAGCTGGCATACCCTCCCACTCGTACCCTTCCTCCCTCCTCTCAAGAGCTGCGCTCCAATTTGTCATTACAGAGAATTGCAAAAGTCTAATTTTTTTAACGTGTCTTTATTAAGGGGTATCGGTGGCCGAGTGGGCTAGCGCCCATCAGATCGGAGTACGTGGAGAGAAAGCTCGCGCTGGAGAACCCAGTGATCCTGAGCTCAATCCTCAGCCCTGCCCGAAGAACACACTTCCAATGAAGTGAGTTCGGGGAGCACACTACGCTCGCTCCTGTAGACCGAGTGTGTAATCTCGATAGCAGTGTTCAAGGAGTAAAAATAATAGAAGAAATTAACGCTGCGTAAAATTAGTATTATTTTGATAGGAGTAATATTAGATGCGCACTTGTTTTCTGTTGCTAAGTAAGGAAAGTAGTGCATTGTAGAAAAACAAGCGGCTAATCTAGTTCCCAGCCTTGGCCCCTGCGCGACGGCCAGCGACGACCAAGAGGCACCTGCGAAACTCCACCAGGAATCTGAAGGTGGCAGGAGAGACGCGAAAGGCTTGATTGAAATGGAACTCGCCCTAATGGGGCAAGGTGTCTTCGAACCACCGTTCGTTCCCCTGGAAAGTCCACCGTTCTCGACTGATCACGGGTAGGTTGTCGGTCATGAGAGCGGCTACGGTGAAGGCATTGGCCTGCAGCTGCTGATCGATGTCACTTGACATTCTTGCCTGTGCGTCGGCATCCAGGTCCAGCTGCCTCTCATCTGAAAGGCGTTGGGCTCTTCCGGAAAAAAGTGAACCAACCACGCGCTTCCACTGTCCAACATCGCGGATATCGCCCTCCATCTCGTCCTCCACACACTCCATGATGTTTCGTTGTGGCGAGTGGCCGCCGTGCGAGTGGCCAAGTGGGCTCGCGCACACCAGCTCGGAGCACGCGGAGCGAAAGCTCGCGCTGCAGAACCCAGGGTTCCTGGGTTCAATCCCTACTTCTGCTCATTTCGATCTATACTCCGTTTCACCTTATGTTGTACCGCAGACAAGGCTAGAAGCGCGAGCTCATAGCGTTGGGAGCTACTCTTAACGCACGAGAGCTTGTGCCGCCGAGATGCGCCCTGAGCAAAGAGCTCACGCTTGTAGCCTTTCCTGCGGTACATTATAAGGTGAAACAGAGTATAGATGAGCATTGTACCGGCGTGCGGACGTGTATCACTAGCTTGTAATGGCTGATCGTAATGATCACGTTGGATTTAAATTTGGATTAACTTCGTGACTTAGCGCAACAATGTGTGGTAACGTGTTTCTAATAAGACGACGAAGTTATTTATAAGAAAATGCGTATGCACTGTAATAATTTGCTTGCCCATTACTTACCCATCGTCATTGCCATCATTTTGGAGTGACACTAAGTTTTCCCGTGTAGCACCAACACACTTGAAGTGTGTTGCGGCGGGCTGAAGTGCACTCGCTTGTAGTGACACTAAACTATAGCCCGTCTGACAGGGGTATAAAACGTCTTAAATTAGTCGTGTCACATATTTAGAGCACACCACCACCGCTAGGGGCTATTTCGCGGCCTGTGGTTGGCCCCGAGATGCTCGCCTATTCAAACCAATATATGGCCAAACTCTCTCAATAAACGGCTCTGGTCACGGGCCTTGCTCCCACGCTCTGATTGGCTCATTGGGCCGCATTTTTCTCCGTTTTCCGAGCGGTTCCAGACTTATAGGTGAAAAAGCATAGTTTTATGTGACATCAGGACGGCAAGGCAACACTGTACTTAGTCTCACATCAGAAAGTTTTAGGGATCCACATGCACTGCCGCAAAAGACTCGCACATGCGCAGTTCGTACCGGAGGGCCCATCGTACCGTATCGGATTTACAGAAACGGTTCCCTAAAACTCCCTATAGGTCAGACCGCACCCTACGCTACGATACAATCGAGCCAACCAAGCAGCGCCAGCGTTAGGGCCCTCGTCGTTCAAAGTACTGTCCAAACGGGATACTACAAAAGTCGCGAGGCGACACGACTCCGTCAAAAATCGCGGAAACTGAAGCGTCTGGCAGTCCAATGTCTGTTTGGACACCAGCCAAGCGAACATCACGATCTTCCTCCTCGCTTCCTCCTCGTTTCGGTGACCTCGGTGTTAGTCTAACGTCACACGCCACCCTTCCACAAAGTTCATCTGTCCTGCCGGGCCCTCGAATCCTTGGCCGTGTTCCAAAATTTACTCGATCTTACTGCAGGGTAAGTAAGGGTTTTGTACCTTTCCTTCGAAAACCTACCCGCGTCCAGCGTCGCTCTATCTGTGTCATCACGTGACACCACCCGCCGGAGTAGCCCGCTCTGATTGGCTCTTTGGGTAAGATTTCGAACCAGAGCCCTTCCCGTTCTCGTTTTTAGAACCTAAAGAGCAGCGGAAGCCTTGACCGCCGGAGTAGCCCGCTCTGATTGGCTCTTTGGGTAAGATTTCGAACCAGAGCCCTTCCCGTTCCCGTTTTTGGAACCTGAAGAGCAGCGGAAGCCTTGACCGATTGGCCGACAGTCAACAGAGCTTGTTAGTGGCTGCCCGGACCCACGTGATGAGCATGTTCAAGTCCGCCGTGAAAAACACAAACAACCCTTGACAAAAAAAAAATAAAAAAAAAAATTTCCCCTCAACAAAAAAAAAAAAAAAAACGGACGGAAGCTGTGCGCCGCACGTTGCCATGTCGGAGTCGCATCGCCTCACGATTTTTTTAGTATCCTGTCTGGACAGGCCTTTAGTGCGTTTGCTGTCGCCGTCTAAACTGGTCATTGCGCACAGAAAAAAAGCACCGGATTATGGGGCAATTCACTGAGCATGGTTGGTGTAACCGGGAATAACAAACCTGCAAAGTGCATCAGCTTCGTGACGATGCACGGATGGCTGGATGGGTGCCAACGGCTGTAGCCTTTATGAGGGGCGGTAGCTTGCGCCACCCAGCCTAGAAATTTGGTTTTGCGCGCTGCTTGATTGACTCCATCGGATCGCAGCTTCGGTTGCGGTTGGACTTGGAGTGAAACGGAGTATGCTAGGAGTAGGGTTGGGCTGTATCGCGATATAAATGTATCGTGATAATATTTCACAAATAATTTTAGTATTTATATTTGTGTATCGCGATACAATTTTTTAATCAGTGTCGGAATGCATTTTTGGTGTATACCTTGTATCGCGATACAATCCGGGGCCAATGTATCTCGTTACAATGTTCGAGAAATCAGTGACCCCCAAGCAGAATCTCAAAAGATTGTTTCCTTTGTGTGTACTTCTTCTTCTTCTTCTTTGTGTGTGTGTGTGTGTTTCAGAGGGGTAGAAGGTACAGTAAATAGGACCTTGAGACTTGGTTATCATTCAGACCAAGGTTCCTTTCCTGAACATCGCACTCCAAGCCCCATTCACAAGGGCGAGCGTAAAGTTCTTTTCTTCAGATCATCGGATAAAAGAACGACTTCATATAAAGGCAAAGTGTTGAAGTGACTGCAGAAAAGGTACCGACAATAGGACTAGAGGATGCTGACCGTTCGGAGATATTTCAGTAGGCGAATTCAGGGGTTCGTGGGATATTGCTTCTAAGGCGTGCAATAAATCTAAAAGAGAACTGTACTGCATTCTGCACGGAAAGTATTCGGGACGGACAGCATTCTGGAAGGAAAGTATATTTGGGTAGACGAATTTAGAATTGCGTGTGACATTGCTTCCAAAGCGCGCAATAAATCTAAGGGAGAACTGCACTGCATACCGGACGGAAAGTATTTCCAACCTACCGAAGACTCGCTTAGTTCCTGCAGCTTTGTGTTAAAAAACAAGAAGACAATTCTACGCGAAAATAATTTCGGGCTCCAGAACGCCCAAGTTCAACTTCAATCTTTTCCTCGCGGTTAGCATGACTTTTGTTTTTACTGGATGACTCTTATTTCGCCTTAGAAGGAAACCTTGTCAACGAAGCCTACCAATGACCGCCACCAAGCGAGATCTTTATACACATAAGAAACCCGAAAAAACAATATATGCATGGTTTAAAACTATTTCATTGTAAAAGCGGTCTTCGTTCGTTTTGATGTGAACCCCTTGACAGATGTGGGTAGCTTAATCTCGTTCACTAACACGACTATTTGCGTAAATCGGCACCGGCTGAAAGACGAGATGTATAAAAAGCTACTTCTAATCAAATGTAGTCCAGTGTTGTAGCAAAGTCGAAAGTTTACTTTTGTTTTGTATTGCTTTGCTTTCATATGAAATGATAAAATATGAGTAAAAAGTTGTTTCATTTTTTTAATCATATTTTTTGCCGGTAATACAAGAGTTCACATAACACAAAGCTATTTAAAGAAAAAATTGTACGTGAATATTACTGCCCCGGTCAAATGTATTCCTGTATTTGTACTCCCAAATACTTTTTCGATTTTTCAAATGTATTTCTGATACGTATCGCGACGCTTTTGCACGGATGTATTTCAGTATAGGTATTTGAGAGGTCTTCGTCGCGTATAACAGTATTTGTAATTCCAAATACTATTTAGAGTGTCTCAGCCAAGCCCTGGTGGAGAGAGAGTCGTCTGCTTCTTGCACAGGAGTTACGATGACGTCAAAACGACGCCGACCTCTGATTGGCTCTGATTGAGAATGAGTACACCTTAATATGCTAGATACATCAAGGTCTAATCACATTTTTCTTTTTTTAAGCCATATAAGCGTTTGGCGTTCTGACATCATTGCAACCTCTGCGTAAGTAGCAGACGAACTTGTGCTCCACGTAAGAGTATTTCGACATTTGGTCACCGGACTTTACTAAACTCTTGCTTGCCTAAAATATTAGACCGGGACGACTCGTAGCAGGTGTCACTAAACATTAACAAACGTTCTGAAATGTATGTAACCTGAGAAATAAATTTTTTTTTTTATCTAATTCATTAAGCATATTGTAGTATCCCGAAGTCACTTTACATAAGTACTCTTGGCGTTGTCGTATATTTATCTTACAAGTATTCAGGCGTGGAGATTTTTCGTGCGAAAATTCCGAACACGCTTTTAATCGAGTCATATTTACAATTTACGTGGAGTAAATGCACTTGTTTCTCGAAACTATAGCGTTTAACGCTTTTGGCATGTTCCAAATTTCGTGTAATTTTGGATTTTTTTATTTATTTATTTTTGCTTAGATATACAGTGGATTCTTGTAACTTCGAACTCGACGGGGACCAAAACTTTTTTTCGAATAATGCAAAGTTTTAATTACCGGGAGTTTCCTTCCTAGAAACACATATAACGGGACCTGCATGTTAGTTTATATATACCGTTTATACTGTATAAAGACACGTGCTCTAGTGAATAAAATTCGTATTTGTTTTAATATGGACAGCTTCGTATATTTCGCCCGCTCTTTGAAATCCAACCATTCGAACTTATTTCAACCACGCCGAAGGGCACCGCACGATATATATTGGTTCGCTCCACTTTCATGCACGGTTTAAGGGGGATTCAACCGCTATTTATTTGTACCCTTTTCCTCCTAGATGGCGCAGAATTTTTCCGGAACAAACGAGTTGCACGCTCGCAGCTGCGCATGCAGGTCGGGCGCTCGAGGTGGGCTCGGGCCACGGGGCTGTTCGCAGCCGATCTCGAGCTAGATCTTCTTCGCGCTGCCCGTCCGCCGCTGCCAGAAGCGGCCAAAGGGCAGCGCGAGATACGAGCCAGCACATACGTAGATCATAGTGGCTTACAACACGTAGAATAAGCTCGGATTTCCGAATGGATTCGAAGTTGCTACCACGTTTGAACGTGGTAGCAACTATTTTATGCGGACCATGGCCAGCTGGCCATGGTCCGCGTAAAATATGGTATAATATTTTTCCTGCAAAGGCGCAGTAGTGTCAGACAATAAACAGTCCACGACACCGGAGTTCCTCTGTCAATAGAGAGTTTCAGGGAACCGCTTCTTTTCCACCGCCGATAGGGATGGGCCCTCCGGTACGAACTGCGCAGATGGGAGTCTTCTGTGGTAGAGTATGCGCAGTTTGTACCGGAGGGCCCATCTTACCCTATCGGATGTGGAAAAACGGTTCCCTAAAACTCCCTGAAGTCACATGTTTGAACGGTTGAAACTGTCCCTCAATACGTAAGTTAATCAATCAAACAATCAATCAGTCTATGTTTATTTAAAATATTTGCATAGTACTAAAACCGATCCTCCCAATTGTTGTTGGCGATGTTGTTGTTGTTTGTTTGTTTAATAACATGGCAAACTATACCCCGGCTCTTTTTTTTTTTTTTTTTTTTTTTTTTTTTTAACAATAACCGGTTCGGTTGCGGTCGGACTTTGAGGGAAACGGAGCATAAGTAAGACCACGACGCACCGACGCATTGTACATAAAACACGGTTCCCGTACGACACCCCCCAACCGTATCACGTGCAGTGACGCCTGGACGACCGATTCGACGAAACTGGCCGATCTAGAAGAAGACGCTGTTGGCAGTTTGGTGCTGCGCGTGCACTCGGATCACGACGCTGCCTTCGAGTCGTACTACACGTCCCTAGACCCTTCCAAGAACTGGAGAGACCCCTGGTTCCCGGAGTTCTGGGAGACCAAGTTCCGGTGCAGCCTGAACGGGACGCCATCCGACGACAACACGTACCAGAAACCATGCACAGGTATGCACTCGAATAAATGCTGCCCCCCGTAAAAATATCATATGTTTCTCTATAGGGCAAGTTCCTGACTAACGGCGGTCATGTATACATTGGTCTCGCATAGTACGCAGCCGAAAGACCCGTTTCGCCGCACATTTATGTGTGCCTAGCCGGGGTCATCCATAAATAGGCAGGCATCAACACTCGGATGAAAAAAGTCAGTTTTGCCGCTACAATCATACTGCTTTTGCATCATACAAAAGGGTGTGTTTCCGCAGACACGATAAAAGAATGATTGGCGGATACTTCCCAAGCATGTTCCAAGCATATTTGCTTCACGTTGACAGACAGCTCTTTATGATTAATGTGACCATCGTACCAGGAGGAAACAAACAATGTCTGCATGCAGACCGTTTTTTTTTTTTTCTTGATGATGTATTAAGAAGTTAAGAGGCCGAGAAAGACGACGTTCCGTCGCCGTCTTCCTGTTTTTTTTTTTTTTCTTTTTTTTTTTTTACATTGTTGCGTTGTGATTTGTGGAGCTGGATTGGAAGATTGCTTCAGCGGAGGATGAAGAAAAAGGTGGCTCGTTCGAATACTTAAATAATTACGGCAGGACAATCTCGGTTGCCGATCTCGTTAGTAGTTGTTGCAAGTGCACGAAATTGACATTCCTTATGAGTTAGGCGTGACACGAGTCTAATTGTTTAAAACCAGTCAAAATTATTGTCAAGATATGCTAACAATGGTGTGGAGCATTTAGTGAATATTTACATTCGTATTGCAATTAAAAAACGTACGCGACCAAAAGCGTCGCTGTGGTCGGCATTCGCGACTGGCCAAACCATAGCTTCCTGTATACTGATAATGCCTGCCCAATCACCAGATCACGGCGAGACGAATCCTGCCAATCACGGCGAGGCAAATCCGGTTTGCGACGTCACGAAACAAAAATATAAAGGGGCACTACCGAGACATCTCGACGTTAACACCTACATTTTTTAGTGCGGCGTTTACATTCCTGCTACATTTTTGTAGTTGTCTTCGAGCTTTTCTTCCAATTCATGTTAATAAAACAAAACGGGATAGTACTGAATTTAATGGAAATTGCTAATTGTCGAATTAATCAGTCAGACTGCGGTGTAAAGATCCCTTCGTGCCTTTTGCCTAAACTATACCACCTATTTCCAGAAGTATGAAGTATTGAGCCCCAGCTACATAAAAAAAGTGTAAAACATGAAATGTTTTCAACGCTATCCCCCAATCCAAACATGTTGTCCCCAATCGTATCATTTTAGTATGGAAATTGATGTCACGAGACCTATACACGAATTCAGTTTTCCCGCTAAATTTAGCGGGAAATTTGATGACACGTGACCTGACGTCATTGGACCTTCATACCAATTCAGTTTCCCCGCTAAATTTAGCGCGAAATTGACGTCACATGAACTACACACCAATTCTGTTTCCTCGCTGAACTCGGCGGGAAAATTGATGTCACCGAACCTGCCGTCACATGAGCTATACACCTGTATAGGTGTATAGTACAACTATACATGCCAACTATACACAAGCTGTCGATGCTCTATATGCAGTCGGCCCTGAACTTTAGATATAGTCAGAGCCTGTTACCTTTACGGTTGTCTATAACAATAAACTCGCCTCCGTTGTTCATTGCCGAACCGAGTACTCGCTGTCTCGGGAAAATTAAACTCTGCACTGTCCGACACAAAGAGCACGACCCCGTAGCTTTTTTTTTTTTTTTTTTTTTCTATTTTATCACATTGTAGTTTTTTAGATGGGAGAGATAAAGCGGAAAACGCCCCCGGTCGCCTGCATACGAGCTGACTGCGTCAAGCTTGGTAAATTTATTAAAGGATTGTCTGCGCCGTTCAATGTAATTTAATGCGATGATGAAAATGAGAAGTGTCAGCGAAGCGACTCTGGGCGACGCGCACACAATATTATCTGCACGCTTTCACGGCTTCCTATCGCATCAATTGTATGGCCGTCACGAGCTGCCTTTTTTTTTTTAACTTCTACAGTTATTTTTCCTGTTTGTTTTTATTACAAAAAAGAGAATAATATAGCACATAGTATAATATGATTACAGGTCTGTTCACACATACAGCACAGCGCTTCCTCAGTGCTATTGGTCAGCGCTGGAACTATTGCGTTAACCTTGATGATGCAGCGCTAACTTTGCGCTGTTTGAGCGATACAGCGCTAAAACAGCTAGCACTGCATGACTGCTAAATTACCTTCAAGTCAGCGCTGCGTCGGCGCTGCTCCAAGAGTGTTCATTTAGCGCTGCAATTAGGGTGACCACCCGTCCCGCGACTGGCGGGACTGTCCCGCATTGAGGGCTCGTGTCCCGCGTCCCGCAAGAAATTCCCAAATCTTCAAATTGTCCCGCTTTTCACATTGTCGTAAAACTCACAACGCAGCTTATGGCGCTGCCGAACAACGGGGCACAGAGAATTAAGCGCGGAGATCGCTGGTGAATGCGTGAATCGCGATGATACACCATTTTCCATCCACGCAACGTGGGAAGCGACCGTCGTTCTTGCAGGAGGTCTGTCGCGCATGCGCTTTCGTGCCTTTCTTCCCTTGGTGGCAAAATATTGCAAGGGAAAATTGCTCACAAAAAGTTGAAAATACATTATTTTAATTATTTTCAAATCGTGCTGCGTCAATGCGAAAAGGTTGCTGCGGAAAGCTTTTTTTTTCTTTTTTAGTAAAGACGATCACACAAGGCAAGAAGACTGTAACTCACAACGATCAAAAACAACAACGTAAAATTCGAATTTTGTGTAGGAGCATGTTGGTAAAAATACCAATCGAAAGGAAACGAGTAGACATAAAAGATTTACTGCTTCTTCTATCCTATTGATGCATTGAGCTAGGTTGCAGTCGATTTTATGTTTTCAACTCAGATAATGTCACATGTAGTAAAAATTATTCGAGCTTAATTGCCGCAATACAATTTGCAGCTGTATAATATGCTTTCAGACAAGACAGGCAGAGCCGCATTTCGTGGCATGTGTTGATAAATTCCCTCGAACAGTTATTTTTTTTTCATTGTTTTTTCTTAACCTGAGTCTGGGGCAGAAGGCGGAAAAACAATTTTCCTCCACCTGCTCCAGTCTCGGGTTAAAAGGCAGCATGGTAAACTTCCATCAGCCCGACTGCGCACTAAATTCTCCCCCCAAGGTCAGCGTGTCCCGCATTCCGCTAGCGGGAGGGTGGTCACCCTAGCTGCAATCTAGCTGTGAACCGGCAGTAATTCGCGATGCACTAATTACGTGGCAGCACTTAACGACATAATGAAAGTGGCGAGTTGCAATCTCCAACTTACTAAGCAGGTGGGCCACACGGAAACAATGATGTTAGCTGCACAATCTGGGACGGTTTCAATAAACCCTTTTTCAAAAGCCTGCACACCATCTAGTGGCTGCTCCGTCAATTATCCAAGCCCGCCATTGTTTGGGCAAATTACTACGAGCGTGCATTGGACACGAGGGCTGCGTCAGAGTTCGGCGAAGACTCGGATCCAATCAGACGCTTCGTCCCCGAGAAATGGCGACTACCAATGATGCTCGACGGACATCTGAAAAGGGACTAGGGCGTTAGTTAGAAAAGACTGGTGTGGTGAAGATGCCATGGGTATAGATGAAGCGCGCTCTAGGACGAGCAAGAGTCATGTAAAGAAGTGCTTTGGGAGGTTAAATGAACAGATTTAAAATCGCGACAGATTTAAGCACGGCAAGCGGTTAGCTGGAGAAAATGTTTTGTCAACGGGGACATTCCGAGGTATATTACTAGATAAATGAACACCAAGATATGTGCACTGAGTAGTAGTCTGAAGAGTGACACCATTAAGCGGCAATGTTTTTTCACCGCGTGGGAGGGAGATCGATCCCTGGCGCCGGTGACTGTCATGTTGTTGTTTCCAGACCGTCGAGAACACAACAAGCACTTCGTGGAAGCATATTCCGGCACCAATAAACGATAAAAAAAGAAGCGGTCTGTTTTTGTTGTAGACGCTTTCAGTGCGGGCAACACGGTTGAATCCGAGCTCTGAGCTACCACCACGGGGATGACGTCAAGACGCGTGCGTCTGCTCCATTGCAGCGTATGTTGTCGTCGAGCTACAGCGCTGGCGCTGGCTCGGGTCGGGCTTGGGATCCACTTACGGTGAGGTCGTGCGCAGGCCTTGTCTGCTAGCCTTGTCTGCTCAACCACCCTCGAAACGTTGAGCAGCGATGCACATCCGTAATCTGTACATCATGGCACTGTACATTCCTGTACGCGACGGTACATCTGTACAGTCGCTAACCATGCAATAATCACCTCGCCGCACCCTTCATTTTTAGATCTGTATCGATAAGTAATTAAGACGAAAACCCGGGGGGTGTTTTTTTTTTATTTTTTAATCAATTCGAACAAACGTGTCGTGTGGGAACATGCTTAGATTTCTTTTTTATACAATTTTTTTTTTTTTTTTAGCAGAGCGAACGCTAGAGCGGAAGCCTTGCCTCTCCTCTCTCCTCTTCTCCGGCGTTCGTCCTGCTAAAGTGAAAAGAGGGCTTTGCCAGAGGAGCTTGTCTTGCATTTCTTAATCTGCAACAACGTTAAGTTTAAAAGAAAAGAAGAAATTAGGAAAGAAAGAAGTAAACTGTTTTGTTTCAAAGGGCTGTCAAAGCATGCCTATAACGTAAAAATGACAGTACTGTAAGCGAAGTGAAAAGTTTTCAAGAATGGCCAAATTAGGAAAACAAACTTTACACATTCCAACACGCCGCGGATTGCATCTTTTCCTTTCAGACTGCTTACCTCCAGTTTTTCTCGTTTTTTAGGGCAGTTTTGTTTGTTTAAAAAACAAAGCTGCCTCATAATTCTTGCTTTTTTTTTTACCAAGTCTAAAGTTCCACCCCATAACATTCTTCGAAGCCACCTGCATGGAGTTGAATGGCTGGCGAACTTCACTAAGCTAACTCAGAATAGCGAAACATGCGTGACTATAATCACTGACAAGATAAAAACGGTAGGGTTTTCCAGTATACCCTTCCCATACAAGCGTTTGAGGGCGCGTTCATTGCTGCGTTTGTGTTATGCAATCGCACTTTCTGACTGACCGCAATTGCGCGCGAGAGCTGACTAGGCTGTGATTTAGCACGTGTGGACTGTGATTTTTGTAAACAGTGGAAATGTCTATAGTCCCACCTTCAACGCGAGCACTTTTGATAACGCTACTGCATCTCGTGGGCTTCGAGCTCGTACGCGCAGTCAAAACCCGAAATGAGGCAGCGAGCGCGTGCTAAAAGACCGGTCATTCGAAAGAGATGCCGTGCCGTCCTCCAGAGCCGCATAAAGAGAGAGTTTGTTAAGTGGGAGGAGCGGGCAGAGCCAGGTCGTGCACCAGACGCAGACAAAGGACTGGACATGTTCTCTTGTCCAACCAGAAGCTGAAAGTAATCCCTTAGCGGTGGTAGCAAGACATACTTTTAATAACCGCGTGAGAGTAGTAACTCTTCCCGAATGAAAATATGGTGACCATAATGTTTCGATTATGACCATGCAAAAAGATGGAAGAAACGAATGTGCCGCTGGAACTTTGGTTTGCTCGGACTGAGTCCGACAGCTCGGACGGCAGATGCCCGGCCCTCGGCGCCTGGCGCACGGATTACGTGCCGTGATGGAAACATCACGCGTACCATAATTTCAGTCACCAAGAGCTACTCCGACGCACTTATTTGGTTTCTCGCGACCACGGCCAGGGTATCCTTCGCGGCTTCTGGTTGGGTCCATTCGAATTTGTGAACGCGCCCAGCTCACTTTCGGCCAATGCCGCCTTCTCATTTACCTCCTGTACTTCCCAATTAATGACCAAACTCTCTCTATATATACGGCCCTGTCGTTCTCTTCGTAAAGAAGAGGAGGAGAGAAGAGCGTGCAGTGACGTCAGAGCACCAAGCTCTGATTGGAAAGATAGTGGGCAGAGACAAAGGCGGTTTAGCCTTTGTGTCTACCCACTATTATTCCAACCAGAGCTGTGCGGCCTGACATCACCCCCACGCTCTAATCTCCTCCTCTCCATCACGTATCTGTTCAGCGTCTGACAGCTTCAAACGTGCATCCCCACGCAGGCGAGGAGTGTCTGTGCGACAACTACGTGCAAGACCCCAAGCTAGACGGGGTCAGGAAGGGCATCTACCTGGTCGCCCACGCTCTTGACCGCATGGTGCGGGAACACTGCCCCGACAACGACACCGACTGCGCGCGCAAGGTGCAAGTCACGGCGCCGCAGTTTCTGGAGTACCTGGACAACGGGACGTCTCATCTCCTGAACGGAACGTTTCCCCCGTGCAACAGAACGCAGCACTCGGAGAACGGGACCGCTGGCTGCAATGCGACGAGTCCTGTTCGGTACGTCTCATGAATTGTTGATCTGTTTGAGGACGATAATTGTCATCGCAAGAAACTAACCAAACTGAAGAAATAACATTTGCAAAACCTCTGTTGTTGTTGTTGTTGTTGTTTTGTTCGTTTTTTTATGGCAATCACAAGCGCATCTCTGACTGCTATGCTTACCAAGTTCACGAGAGTGGTCCCTCAATTTCGGCCTGATGACGTCAGAAAAGTGTAATCCTTCTACATGCTGCAATCCTGGCGGTGTCACAACGGCAGAAGTGAATGCGGCAGTTACCTGTTCCGCTATGCAGCCAGACAATGAAAAGCAAAGGAAGCACGAAATGGGACGCCGCGACGACCGTCGTCCGCTCGCCTTTTTTTTTTTTTTTTTTCTTGCCAGCATTTTTGCGACCGACCGCCAGGATTGGGACACCGTGGTGGATGCATAGAGTTATTATAATGTACGCTAGAGGTTCAAGTGGCGCTAGTGTGCTGACGCAAATTGAAGCAGACAGCAACCAGTCCAAAATTGACTTCCGGTAATGCATTTCTATGGGAAAAAGTGAGTGCATTTTCCCTCTGCGCTCGATCATAAGAGCAAATATCCCGAATAATTCGTACGTTCCATGTAGCTTGGAACATTTCTTAGTCAGGCCGACGAAATAATTGGTCAGTTACGGTGTTTTTCTTTCAAATTCATCGCATTAAAAACGGTGCTGAAACGGCTTCCTACGTGTATTTATGTGCACTGTCGGACACTGTCAGCGCGAACACGACGTCGGCGCTTTTCAGCGTGGGGGATATACGTGCCAAACGAACGAAGAACATCTGGAAATTAAGAAAGACGGCAAGAACTACGCAGTAACACCGGATCAGTAACTACACGTGCATATACGATCAAAATTAATTGAAGGCCACGTAATCTATTCCTATTTTAAATAAGTAAGTACCGTTTTATTCTTTCTGCTCTGAGCGAAGCTGCTTGTTCTACGTTCAAAATATCACTCGTACGCTCGAAATCTTTGAGAACAAGTGCCCGATAAAAGCTGCCCGGCAGAGAAAACAATACGAAGAGACAACTTTTATAGCTCACGGACTTTATTCTCTACGTTTTGAACGTTTTTATCCGCTCATGCACGACGGGGTCATTTTTATATAGTGACAGGACTGGCATATTATCAATATATAAGCGTCACCGGATTGCTGGCGAGCCTTGAACACACTCTACATTCCTTTCGATTGTAATTTTGCTTTGAATCGTCGCTTGTTTTTACACACCTGCTGCGGAACACACGTTTGGGACTGAAATGTAGCGAAGTTAAACATCGCTCACTGATGAAGAAAAATGCGCTAACTAAAGCAATTACACTTTTACAATGTTAATTAAGACACATACTATTCGGTACGACCGAAATAACCCAAGTGTTCCATGTTATTTTCCGGCCAAGAGACAAAATGCACGCGCGTTTTCCCATAGGAATGCACAGGAGCACCGCAAAAGTAGACTGGTTGCTGTCTGCTTCAATTTGCGTCACGGAAGTCGCGTAGACACTAGCGCCAGTTGAACCTCTTGCGTACATTATAATAACTCTATGGGTGGATGGTGTGACACACCGGCCCCTGTAACGCAATGTGTTGCCACTTAGGGCGGTTCCCTTTGCTCCCCGGGATGCACATCACGTGGTAACAACGTCACGCTTTTGCGCGGAGCCGCGCTGACGTGGACATCTCAGAGGGATGGGGGAGCTTTTGCTCGGACTGCACAAACGCGTTCCGCCTTGGGTGGTATTTTGTTCGCGTGTCCGGCAAACTCAGAGTTTGCCCGGCGAGATACCGGCGATGGCATCGGTATCACCTAACTTGTTGTGGCTTGCGCTGTTGCGCATGTCGTCCGAGACAGAGTGTTCGATATTCATCAATGCCGTCCTCGAGCCGCTCCCCATATAACTGCATTTTGATTCCACGTCCTTTCTGTTGCAGCCACCTATTAAAGAAGCATCATTATTTTAGCAGCAGGAAGCAGTTCGTCGTCCTCTGCATCTAACAGGGCTGTGCCATAATCGCGTACCGGCGTTTCATGTACGCCTCCATTTTTCTATACTCGTCAGCGCGCACCGAGCCCTGTTGTCGAGAGTGCGACCGCTAAATGCGTCTGATAACACTGACATTCCTCTCAGCCCTGTCCCCCAGTGGGTCGGGTGTTAGGCGACGCCGACAAAGTTCGACCAAAGGAAAATTGGCGACTCCGTCGCCGGGGGGGGGGAAACAACAAATAATGTTTTTCCGTGTCTTTTTTTTTTTTTTTTTTTGCTTAATTTTTAAAGGTCTGCCTGGCGATCATCTTCACGACCTGGTGATAGAGAAACACATTCTCTTGGAACGGGAAATCAGGTTTCTGTTATTGTTTTTAGGCTAGGTGGCGCAAGCTACCGTCCGTTACTAAGGGTGCAGCCGTTATCATTCATCCATCCGACCGCCGTTGGTGTGAACGCTGGAGTCGGAGAGGGAGTCCCGCTGGTATTGCCGATCACTGACGTCACGCGCATCCTTCCCCGAAAAGCATCCCCTTGTAGCAACGTGTTCCTTGTTGTCAAAATAGGGAGTTTTCGTAAACCACGAAGAGGCCGCTACTGTGCCAGCGCGCCGCTAGCCTTGACTGAAGAAACCCGGATCTCGTAGCGGGTTGAGGAAAGTGTTGCGGGACGGCCGAAACGATCTACGACAACTCCCTAATGAATGCCTCGTCCCCAACCGCCCCACATAGCATCCGATGTATTCGACGTAAGAGGTGTTCGCGGCGTGAAATCTAATGTCGGATTGATCGACACTTGCCTCACGACCGAACTGACTCTACACGGTTCTGCTGCGCCTTTGCTAGGAGTCAGCGACTTCAGCAACCGTAGTGTTGAACTGGGACGTACCTTCCCTCTACTTCTTAATAATTCCTTCTGTTTGTCTGTTGGTGTGTGTGTGTGTTTTAATTTTATTTAACACCTTGGGCGGCGGGTTGGCAGGCGCACTTCTGTGCGGGTTTTCACCCTTCTGTACAGCTTTGCGCGCCACCGAGGATGTCCTTTTTATGTGCAACTAAATATTATATTTATTATTATTATTATTATTATTATTATTATTATTATTATTATTATTATTATTATTATTATTATTATTTACAGCGTGTCCCAAAAAAAATTACTTACAGTGCTTTTTTTTTTTTTGCAAAAAAACATATATTACGCATTGCTGAGCGCCTCTTCTCCGCCCGTATGTAGCGCTAGCCGTCCGAACCAGATGCCAGCCCAGTTTCATTCCAAATTTCAGAACTAGCCATTATCTCATCTAAGAAGTTATAAGCGATGTTTTGGAAATCTCAACGAGAAAATTGAGCCCGGTTTCGGTAACAGGCACCATTCAGCTCCATCCAGCTTTTTCGCATTGAAAGTTTCAGGAAATCCCTAATAGCTCTTGAACAAGGTAACGGTAGCTTTGGCATCTAATTCGGACCGCTACTGCTACATTTCCGAGGAGAATGAGCGTTCGGCGGTGCAAACCGCACAGTTTATTTTTTTTAATTAAAAAGTAAACATGTAATTTTTTTTTTTTTTTTTGGGGGGGGGAGGGGGGGGGGGGGAGGGGGGATTTGTACTTGAAATTTATATATGAAAGAGACAATAAGGTGAAAACTGTAGGTGGAAAATATAATCTATGTCTGCCTCATAAGGTGTCGTCATTCTGACTTCCAATAGCATGTCCGGTGCCATAAATGTAATTAATTGCACGGTGTTATTATTTGTCAAAGGGAAGCCGAAGCGGTTCTGCATGAGAGTCAAAACACTTAAGTCCTCCTCATTTGGCCTCCAGAATTACCAATATCGAAAATATGATTTTCTTTTGTTTTTCTCTTCTTTTTTTTTTTTTTTTTTTTTTTATTTAGAGCACGGAAGCTGCAAAAAAAAAATAATTTTCTAAGTACCTCTCACGTCACGTCATAAAGGGAGATTTCGGAATCTCCGCTCTCGCGCATTTTCAGCGCCTATCGACGCTATGCACGCGCACTCTTGCTGTTTTCAAAAAGGTCAGAAAAACTAGACGTCGCGACTGGTGTCAGTCCGGAAAAAGATACCTGGCAAGCTTGCAATTACACGCGCTGTCCACACGAGCGGCACGTGCTTGGCGTGGCGTAACAACTGGTCGGAGGTGCGTGTTTTCTTGTTTTCGCGCTTTTATATAAGAAGTATTCACTGGGCGCCATATTTGTGGGTGCTGTTTAGAGCGCATGCTCAGAACGAGCCCACATTAATAGGCTGCTAAGACCAGCAATCTTGAGGGTGCGGAATGCACGCTACAAAATAACTGTGGAAGCTCGCCATCAGCACGCGCTCAGCAGTCGCGCACACAGCTATGGCCGCCAGTGAGTACTTCCTATAGTTACATCAACGGGGAAAACGAACGTGATATTCGAATTCACGGCATAAAAATCGCAATGTTTGAGGGCGTCGTTTAAAGCGCATTCTCAAAACGAGCTCGCGTTAGTAGGCTGCCCAGACCGACAATCTTCATTGTGGGGAATGCACGTTGCAAAATAATTGTGGAAGCTCGCAATCAGCACGCGCTAAGCAGTCGCACACTTAGCTATGGCCGGCAGTGAATACTCCCTTTGGACCCTTTTTATGGCAAACGCCACCACGTGGTGGTCCAGTTTTGGACGTCCCAGAGAACTTCCGGTTTAGTAAAAGAATGAACAAAGACCACCTTAAAGGGGCCCTCCAATCATAATTAAGCGTCTACCTTTTTTCGCGGTTTCCACGTCTCCTAGGGTTCGGACAAGCCAGCGGGCACGGAGAGAGTAACTAAATATGAGTGCGACATAATTTAACCGGACGACGCGGAAACCTCCTCCACCTACGGGGGCGACCCGTGGTGCTGAAAGCGCGCGATATGTGACGTCTTTGGTCCTGGGCTTATTACTGGTTAGAGCCGCTGAAAGCTTCTTTTTAGTCGAAATACAAAATATAAGTGGCGCGAACCGTTTCAATTATTTATAAAAGCAGTTTTTCTTCACTATTTTAGATCAGAAAAGAAACAAATGCAGTTTATAAAGTACGGAAACAAGAAATGACCTGTCGACCCACCATTAAGCGGTGGAAGAGGTGGAGCATACTAGAAAGGTGTAGTTGGATCAGACATTAACAAGCGGCGAGCGTAGAAAGGTCCCGGATGTACGCGACGGCGCTGCGGTCATATGGACTGGAGGATCCGACCGGTTCCGAGCGTTCCCCAGGCCTTCGGCGAGCAGTTTTGGCCTGCGGCTTGGCCTTTTGACGGTATGGCAGCGCGAAGTGGCTTCCGTTCTGAACTGATCTTTACCCCGTGTTTGCTGTCGTTTGTGTCCAATGAAGTGTCATGCCGAATTAGTGATTAATCGCGCAGCAAATGTAATGCGAGCAACCCTGGCTGCCCGCTTCATACAGCCTAGCCAGAACATGCCTTAGTGGCGCCCTTTCGAGCCGTCGACTAGGAGTGCGGCAGCCGTGACCGCTCGCTGAGCTCACTACCCCTCCTCTAGTTCACGGCCACTCAAGGGGTGTCCAAACAGGACACTACAAAACGCACGACTCCGACAAATCGTGAAAAGTGAAGTGGACGCGCCCGCTTCAAGCCCGCTTCAATTTTCACGATTTGTCGGAGTCGTGCGTTTTGTTGTGTCCTGTTTGGACACCCCTTCACGTAACCAAGGACATCACGAAGGAGTTTATTTATTGCTTGTTTTTGTAATTTTAATTTGCTTATAACTTTTAAAATAAGGCGAAATTCGAGAAAAGAAAAGTTTCATTAAGTTACTACGTTCAGTGCGCTCAGGTTCGGTGCCAATTAAAACCGCTAAGAAAAGTCCTGAAAATCGGTAAAAAGAGCGAAGGAGTGCGAGATCTGTTAAAATGTTTCGAGTATTCTTGTAAACCAACTTGCCTCCTCCAAAATGTAATATTGTACAGCTGAAGGCCCTCGTTAAATCTCCAACTTTGTTGTCCGCGTAGCATTTATGCGTTCAAGCACTGTCCGCGTAGCATTTATGCTTCTTAACAAGCTCAACAGGCTTACAGAGACGGTGCTTCCGGAAGTCGCTTGGGACGCAAGCGGCAGTTCATGTTTGTTAACAGCAAAAAGGGTCTATAGAATTCACCTCTAACACAGCTATCACGAAAAACAACCACAGGTCTTTCCTGTTTTTTGTGCGTTTTTTTTTTTTTTTTCTTCTTGCAATTGAAAGTCTGTTATCAACACGACTGGTGTAGTTGAATGGTCTCCGGTCTCCGACTTAGGCGACAAATATTGTCCATCAATTCTTTGGTCGAGCAACTGCCTAAAAGCGCCAATATTCTGTTCGTGTTAATCGCGCCGCGCAGTGTAATATGGTTTATCATAAGTGTGCTAATCGTAATATCGTAATATTTAACTGCAAAAAAGACAATAAAACAACAACAAGAAACTCGAGCGATGACGTGATGGGCGCAGCGATGTTTTGCTTGCAAATCAAGCTGAGAGACTAAAGGCCCGTTCACACTCTTGCAACAAAGTACGACCGAGAGATACGAAACCTGTTGAAACCTCTTAAAATTTATTAGGACGAGAGAACACACTGGCACAATGGCGCCATCTATGTGGTGACCCTGGAACTGCATTTCACAGGAGCGAAGGTTTTGCGGGATTTCTGAGGTCCAATGTGCGTAATGCCTATGAGAAAGGCTCGTTTATAACGTTGACAAAAGTTTTTCGAGCCAAGAAAGAAAGGATAATCCCCGACAGATATAGAAAACGTGCCGGACCGCCAAGTTTACACTGCTACCCAATAGATGGCACCAGTGTGTCCTTTCGTTGTAAAATATATTAAGAGTTTCCAAGGCACCCGGTTCTAAAGGTCGCAAGTGCATGAGCGAGCCTTAAAGGCCCGTTCACACTCTTGCAACAAAGTACGACCGAGAAAGACGAAACCTGTTGAAACCTCTTAAAATTTATTAGGACGAGAGAACACACTGGCACAATGGCGCCATCTATGTGGTGACCCTGGAACTGCATTTCACAGGAGCGAAGGTTTTGCGGGATTTCTGAGGTCAAATCTGCGTAATACCTATAAGAAAGGCTCGTTTATAACGTTGACAAAAGTTTTTCGAGCCAAGAAAGAAAGGATAATCCCCGACAGATATAGAAAATGTGCCGGACCGCCAAGTTTACACTGCTACCCAATAGATGGCACCAGTGTGTCCTTTCGTTGTAAAATATATTAAGAGTTTCCAAGGCACCCGGTTCTAAAAGGTCGCAAGTGTATGAGCGAGCCTTAAAGGCCCGTTCACACTCTTGCAACCGGGTACGACCGAGAAAGACAAGGCCTGTTTGAAACCTCTTAAAATTTCTTAGGACAAGGGAACACACTGGCATTCTGGCGCCATCTATGCGGTGACCCTGGAACTGCATTTACCAAAAGCGAAGGTTGGGTGGGATTTCCGAGGTCAAATGTGCGTAACACCTAGAGAAAGGCGCGCTTATAACGTTGACAAAAATATTTCGCGCCAAGAAAGAAAAGATAATGCGCGAGAGGAATAGAAGATATGCCGGACCGCCAAGTTAACACTGGTGCCCATAAAATGGCACCAGTGTGTCCTCCCGTTGTAGGAGGTTTCAAGGCACCCAGTTCTAGGAGGTCGCAAGAGTGTGAGTGTGAACGGGCCTTAAAGCTTTCGGGTCAAGAGTTTATTCGATACTCGGCGTCAACTATTTCGTGCTGCGTTGTCGAGGCTACCGTGGTTCCGCAATGCTCTGTCCAAGCTTGCGCACGCGCATGGGCGTACCAACCGGGGGGGCAAGGGGGCGCTTGCCCCCCCCCCCCCGCAGTTCTCTGAGTGGGGGGCAAGGCACCTGTTTTGCCCCCCCCCCCTGAAACAGCCGCCACTGGGCATGGCAAACACTGACCGGCGGCGCTCGAGGGATACCAAGGGCACCACCCCCGGCCCTGGGGGCGGGGGGGGGGGGGGGGGAGGTCTGGTTCGCCCCCCCCCCCCCCCCCCCTCAAAAACAAGTTGGTACGCCACTGCGCACGCGAATGAGACCCGAGACGCTCTCGCAGCAGTGAGGGGCAGGTTCACCGCGGAGACTATGCTACCCTTTAGAATGTAGCCCAAAATACTTGACCAAATACTGAGATTTACAGGCGGGTAGCGTCATCCAATTGTGCACGTTCCAGGTACGACATCATGAACTTCCAGAGGTCAAACGAGACAGGTTACGAATTCGTGCTCGTCGGCACCTGGGGCGACGATGGGCTGCGGATGATCAGCGAGCCCCAGTGGCGCGACGCTCAAGACGGGGTACCGGTGTCCCGCTGTTCGACACCCTGCACCAAGGGCCACGTCATGGTAAGCTTTCCGTCCCAAATTTTTTGTTTTATTTTTCTCCATGCGATTTATTATGGTGTCAGAGGCTACCCAATCAATATTTTGCTACAGCGTCCCGTATATTTGTAATAAAGTAAAAAAAAAAAACGCAACTTCTTGAAACCAAAACTGGACTGGAGAGGAAGAATAAATATAGAGAAGGAGAGAGCTGGCGGAAGTCACGTGGCTGTGCAACTTTTTATTTTTCTTCAATCAACGTATTTGCGGCTTTTTAGAACCCACATAAAACTGATATCATATTTCATTTCTATTTTTAATATTAAATGCGTTCCTTCGATGACCCACGAAGTTCATTATATTTGGTGTTGTGTTTGACCTGTGACCTTGACCTGTGCACCGACTTCAATTACGAAAACTGTCTACTCTCATCTCTGGTCAGACACACCGGCGGGGCAATGAAGTTTAGTTCCACGGGTAGGGCGCTATCTTATGCCGAATGCTCGCAACTCTGAGAGGGCCCGCGGCAGCGCGCAGTCATTGGGCCCAAGCCCGATTGTCCAAGTTCCCCGCCGAACCCCTGACGCTGCGCCCGTGTCCCATCGTTTGGTGGCATGGCCTTCCCAGTGTTGCCCTCTTAAGCCACCAACAGCACTGGCTATCGTGCCGACCAAGGCGCCGCCTCCTTTTCACACAGGGTGTTTCTTAGATTGTATACATTGTTTTATAAAACGCCAAGAAGGCTAGTGCGTTTTCTGTAGGGATTTATACGGCCAAGGAGACAATATATAAGGATAATTGTTACGACACGACAGGTAATTAAGTAAAATGTGCAAATCATATTTTAATTGTTTGTCGAAAAGTACTAAATAAAGCAATTTTAGAGAGGCTGCAAGCGACAGGGTCTGCTAAAGTTAGCACTCGTGGAACAGGCGCAAGGCTGGCGGTGCGAAAACAAGGATGGTAAGATTGACTTCCGCTATTTTTGACCGCTTGCGCCTCTTGCACGTTTGATAACTTTAGTGCACCACCGCGCTTGCCACGTCCTCAAGACTTTCTAAAATTTACTGATTTCGTGGTTTTCGGTCACTTCTAGCAAGTTTCTAGTACAAGCCACATGTTTATTTTTACTAATGAAAGGTTCATTAACAAAGTTTACTTCATTATCTGACGCCTGATGAATAGCCACCTATACTATGTCCCCCTCGTCGTATAACTCACATGCAGAGACCGCATTGAAATGGGTTTCACGGCTTTTTTTTTTTAATATTTATAAAACAAACGTTCTGTATATACGACCAATATTATTGCAGCGCTATTCGAGTATGTGCGGCTCCGATTGGGATGGTGAAGTGCGCTTCGCGCTCCACGCTAACCTTGATGAGCTCGTATTTGATGCTTCACTGCGATGATGGATTCAAACCTCAATCCTCGAACGCCTGCGCTAAAGTTACCACATCGATATCAACGAGCTTTCCGGGTGAGAGAAAACAATTAATCGACCGTCCTTATAGGTGTTGAATTACATCGCAGAAACGAAGCTTAGATCTTCACCCAAATGTAGCGCTAGCTGTTCGGACCAGATACAAGGGCTTGCCGTTATCTTTTGATTCGAAAATGGGGCTCGTTCCTGGTATCCGATGCCATTAATCTCTACATATTCGTAAACTTTATCAACCGCCGTTTTTGTTGTTGTTTTTTATTGGAAAGTTTCAAAAATTGCTTTTGCGGAGCGCAAGTTCGCCTGCTTCTTTTGCAGTGGTTGTGGTGGCATCAGGACGCCAAGCTCTGAATCAAGGACAGTGGGTAGACCTCAAGGCAGCTTGCCTCAAGGTCTACCCACTATCCTTCAATCAGAGCCAATCAGAGCTCGGCGTTCTGACGTCACCACAACCCCCGCAAAAGAAGCAGACAAACTTGCGCTCCGCATAACTTTCAAATCAGACAACGGCAAGCTTGGGAACTTTGGCATCTGGTCCGAACCGCAAAAACTATGTTTGGGCAGAGACTGCAGCGTTCGACGATTAGCGCTTTCTTTTTGCCCTAAAAAAAAACAAAAAAAAACAAAAAAAAATCATTATTTTTCGCGACACCCGGTATATTTGTTTCTGGATTATGCTATTACAGGTGATCACGTTATAATAGGTGCTCTTGTTGCTGCTACCTCGTACACGCTTGTGGCAGGTATATCATAAAGTACTATAATTAAGCTCGTTATCTTCAATTGAACGCCATTTCATGGTCGCGTTTGTCACGCGAAATTCTGTTTTTTTTTATCTTCGGCTAAGTTTAGAATCGCATGTGACCATCAAGGTTACCTTGATCGTCGAGTGATCGTCTTCGGATGAACAGACCTCTGATAATCGGGCGCCGCACTCCAGTTGCAGGAATCAACGTTAAACCTTTGTTGCTGGAAGTGCATCGAGTGCGGCGACTACCAGTATGTGGCGACCCCCTACCGCTGCTTAGACTGCGAGGAAGGCATGTGGCCTAACGCTAACCACGACGGTGAGTGTCGTACTCGTGCACATTGGTAAGTGCTTGGTCTTACCATAGGTCGCAGCAGGCATTCTTAGTCCTACGACAGGCGCTGATAAAGCGTATTCGCTCGCGCCATGCAGTACACTTCAAGATCTAATTGTGTTCTATATCAGTAGCATGGATGTTTGATCTTATACGAGAGCATGGGAGAGACTCACCGCACGGTCCACGGAAAACATTGAATAATCGATTTCCTGAGTCAACATTCTTCATCGTTAAACTGAAAGCCAATATATCGTTTAAGTGCAAGTGCGCCAAAGAATTTTTCTTAGCTTGTGTTTAAAGATATACCCGTGACGGAGAGTCTATTTTTACTGTAAGTTCTGTTTTCTGCAACACTTCAGCAAATCAAAACAAAAGTCACTTTTGAGCTTGCATATGTAAACACCTTGAGGACAAAGCGACATTGTCTTCCATTAGTTTCGTGAACACATGGCTACTGTTGCTATTGCCTGTGCGACCAGATGCAGACAAAATATTAACGGTCTCCTGGCAGCACCAAAAATGCTATAATTAATAAAAGAAGAAAAAAATGAAAGCCGTTTACAACTCCCTGTAACGCCGAATTAGAGCGCAGCTCTTGAGGAGGAGGATGGAAGGGTACTGAGGGGAGGGTATATCCCTCCTCCTCACCTCGTCATCCTGCCTGCTACTCCGCCATGTGTGTCACGTGACCTCACGGTTACGCCGACGGCGACGCCGCTCAAGCCGGAAACGGGCGCCTAAGAGCTGCGCTCTAAAAAATTAAAACCGTTTACAACTTCCTGTAACACAAAATTAGAGCGCAGCTCTTGAGGAGAAGGAGGGAATGGCACTGAGGGAAGGGTATACCCCTCCTCCTCCTCCTCACCTCCTCATCCTGCTTGCTACTCCTCCCTCCGAGCGGCGTCGGCGTCGCCGTAACCTAGAGGTCACGAGACCCTCGTGACGTCACGTGACCCTCGTGACCTCATGGGGGTCACGGGACGTCACCGGGATCACGTGAGCTCACGGGTGTCACGTGACCTCACGGTTACGCCGACTACCAAAAGGCGACGCCGACGCCGCTCAAGCCGGAAACGGCCGCCTAAGAGCTGCGCTCTAAAAACTCAATAACGTAGATAGCTTTTGATCTCGAGCAGAGTTTGCGATTCGTATCACGGCAATGACTTTTTTTTTGTACAAGGCAGTGGTACAGTCTCATAAAAGAAGCGACAAGTTTGTGTAAGACAAAACAGATAAACCGGCGGTGGCCGGAGCAAAATAATATTTAGATTATAACTCGGTCTGTCTCTCTCTTTCTTCTCTCTCTCTCTCTCTCTCTCTCTCTCTCTCTCTCTCTCTCTCTCTCTCTCTCTCGCTCGCGCGCTCTCTGCCGGTTAATGTGCGTGTGCGTGTGCGCGCACGTGCATTTCTTTTTTTTTTGCCTTCCGATTTGTTTGTTTAGGATGCCACGTAACGTAGAAAGCTAATATCCGATTTGTTCAGAAGAGTACCGCTTTTCGATAGTGTTCAGACTGATATAAATCTTTCATGCATTCTTAACTATTTGACATAACTGAACAAAAAAAAAAAGTTCAAATCAAAGGTACACAAACGGCCAATAAAGAAATATTTTAGGCAGTGTGTCGAACCGAAAAAAATACGGGTCCGGTTACGGTTCACGTTCAGGTAAATTTATTTTGTTCCGGTTCAGTTCCGGTTCGATTAATTCGATCCGCGAACCGGTTCGCGAACCGGTTTGGGGCGCTGAACCGGTTCGCGAACCGGTTCGGAAATTATAAATGACAAATTGCAACATCAAAATAAATTACAAATAAAACATCTGAAATCAGCACATACGAAACGGGATACATCGTAGTGCATTTCTACCAGGAATGGTTTCTTTATGTGCACTCAAAGGTTACCTCACCGACGTTTACGCATTTGGACTTCATCTAATTGGGTCCGACGCATTAGCTGTAAAATCCGCTACCTCCTTACAAACCCACTTACAAGTAGAACTCGCTAACTATCCCGCCACCTCGGCGTGTAAGCAATTGAAGGAACAGTGGGGAGAAAATACAGCTTTCTTTATTTGAACTAGCCTTCGGTAACTCAAATTAGACCCTTAAAGAAGTTTTCATTAAACAAGATACGGAATATGAAAAACACTTCACCGAACGCAACGCCAGAAGGAGTAGGATAAATATTAAAAGAGAAGAGTGCCGTCAGTTGACGGCACTTAAAAAACAAATGGCATTGATAGCACATTCATTGTCAACAGCGCGTGGCCGAACCGTTTTGACATGAGCCGGTAACCGTTATTTTTTTTTTTTCCGGTTCAGTTCTGGTTCGGGTTCATCGCGATAACAATATAACGGTTCGGGTTCGGGTTCACTTCCGGAAAAAATACCGGTTCGGTTCCGGTTTTCGGTTCGGTTCGGTTCCGGTTCGACACCCTGATTTTAGGGGTAATATTTTCGAGAAAGGTTCGATTTTAACCATCACATACTCCGTTTCACTTTAACAGCAGCCGACGCTATTATTCGATGAAGCCAATCGAGCCAACCACCGGCTAAATCAATAACGCACACAAAAAAAATAGCTCAGTATTGCGGCGCATTTATTGTGCACGATTGGTTTAGTAATAGAAAAAGCGATGCAGTTTTGGTGTTGCTTGATTGGCTTCATCGAATTATAGCGTCGGCTTCGATGGTACTTTATAAGTAGTAAAATTGATGGAAGATATTTAGATTACAACTGAGGTCGTCTTGATATTTTTTTTTAATTCTCCACCCTGCGTGGCGCTCACTGGTACAACCGAATGATGCGCAGGCTGCGACAGCATCCCACAGAAGTACCTGCAGTGGACCGAGACCGCGAGCATCATCGTCATGGTCGTGTGCAGCTTTGTCATGCTGTCGACGGGAGCGGTGGCCACCATCTATATCCGCTACATCACCACTCCGCTCATCAAGGCCTCCTCCAGAGAACTGTCCTTCGTCGTCCTCATGGGAATCCTGTGTGCCACCGCCAGCACGTTCGCCGTCCTCGCCAAGCCTACTCCGATTGTCTGCGCCATCGAACGCTTCATGCCAGCGTTCGGAGTAGCCACCATCCACGCTGCCATCTTCACCAAGACCAACCGCATCGCTCGGATTCTAGCCGTTAAGGAGTCCAAGATGTTCTCTCGCAAACGCCGCTTCATGAGCACGACGTCTCAGCTCGTCATTACGGGACTGCTAATCCTGGGCCAGGCCATCGTGTCCGGAACGATGCTTGCCATCGAACCGCCCGGTGCGCAAGACTTCTTCGCGGCACCGAACCAGGTCTCGCTCATCTGCAACACCTCGGAACTTGCAAACTTCCTGGGTCTCAGCTACGACTTCCTGCTCATTCTACTGTGCACCGTGTGGGCCGTAAAAACGAGGAACGTGCCCGAAAATTTCAACGAAGCCAAGATGATCGGCTTCGCCATGTACGCCACGGTGGTCATTTGGATCGCCTATCTGGCCGTTTACTGCGGCAGCGAAAGAAACCGGGAATTGTCCCTGTGCCTTGCGATGAACGTGTCTTCTTTCATGGTGCTCATGTTTCTGTTCATCCCAAAAATCTACATCGTGCTTTTCCATCCAGAAAAAAACGTGCGGTCCAAGTTCCTCACGTTCAAGCAAGACATCGGCAAGGAAGCGGTGAGCACCGTTGAAAAGACCACCGTCTTGTACGGTTATGGCAGCAGAGAAGCCGAACGCCCGACGGCAGCTCCAAGGTAGCCTCTACTGCGTCTCCTTCCGTGCATGCTGAAGTCAGGGACGTTGATGTTACGCCAAGGCGCTGACGTAGGCGCAGTGCCACGATGTGTCGCAAACGAGGAAGTGCCAAAGAGAACGACAGCATGAACAGCTACATAAAAAAAAAAAAAAACGCTAGTGACCATCGATGGGTGCTGGTGGTAGCGCAGCTGTATCATACTCGAAAAAGGAACTTTGCGTCTAGTTCCGTCCAACTTCCGCTTCTGATTGAACGACAGGAAGCTATGTATTCAATATGTGCACCACTCGATTCATTGTGAATGTCAAAGGACGTGACCTTGCTCCAGCCCTTCCACGCAGTAATCGTTGTTATTGATCGCACTGAGTGAGTTCATTTCACTTCAGGCAGGCTAAATAATTTCATTTTTAATCTTGACGGAAAAGAAATATATTTCGGGAATATTTCTGAAGCAAACAAAAAAGTCCAGTTCATTCTTTTAATGAAAAATTGATGCGGCAGAGGTAAAACCTGACTCTAGTAGAGTAGTCGTCTACGTGTTCCTCTTCTCTGTCCTTGTCCCTATGTGCGCAACTGTAACTATGTTTAAAACCTGACGCCTTTCCTGCTTGTTGAGGATCGGATTTTTGTCCTTCCCTTTCCTTCCTACCTAAGCGACTAAGCTCCAACGCTTTTGAGACCGTCTCGAAATAGGAATTATCATGCCCAGTGACTTCACATGTTTACTAAAATGTTAAACTTAATGAATGTCATACTTTCCATCTGAGGATTTCGGCAAGGTTTGGCAAACTGTGCGGTGTGACCTGATTGAGGTTTCCTATAATGTCAATATCTCTCGAAACTGCATAATTATCTTATTTTATTGATCATAAATTCAATATTGTGTCACGAAGAAAGGAAGTGTTGCGTGTAATTGAATAAACGGTTGTTTCAAAACTTTGCGCTTCAAAATCTGCTTTTTTTTTTTCTTTTTTTACAATATGTTGTAGTGTAAAATAACAATACGAAGAAGCAACATACTCTACTTAAGGCCCGAACCTTGGCATGCACGTGTCACGAATGTCAGTATTATAGATTCGTTGCAAAAACACACCCAGCGGAAAAGTATTTAAACGTGTGTGCGAAGAAGAACGGTTCCTCGAGCTCCTCTCATGCTGCGCCATCTCATGGCGTTTGTCAGAAATGGGAGCGAACCTTCGACACGCTTGCTCCGTGACAAGGCGCCGCCGTTCAGACCTCTCTCTTCCCCACCATGGCCATTTACAGTAAAAAAAAAAAAAGGTCAACGAATAATTATATTCTGTGGTTGTCAACTTTATGGGCAATAAGTACAAAAAGTATGCGACATTTAAAAATGGGGATTTTAAGAAAGTCAATCTCGAAAATATGTTTTATCAAGTTTGAAGCAAACGCGGCTTAAAGGTTGTCTCCAAAAAGCAGCAGAAAATATCAACAAATATTTACATCCTGTGACTGACAACTTTATGAGCACTGAATACAAACAGTATGAAAACAAAAACATAAAAAATCGAGTTAAAAAAACTGTGGCTCCGATCCACGCCGTGAAGGTGGTTGGACAGCGAAGCTGTAAACGACACCCACAACAATTACCTATTGCGACGTCACTTGAAAATTCACACACGTGGCTCTACAAAGAGTGAAACCAGAGACAAGTGAAATGTACTTAACCACACCCCTTATTACTCCAGAACAACATTCACGACTACTTTATGATCAGTGTGATACGCACTGAGATTTTCAGTTCTCACTGTAGAGATATTCTTTGCTAAGGTTAAATTAATCCATGATCCATGAATGGTGGTTGGTTGAGTTGCATTGGTGAAGCACATGTTATATATGAAAGCGTGATGACGTCACTGTGTGATTTCTATGCTGTTGGGTACTTTTCCACTCGGAGTAGCTTACGGAACCGTAATCTTTACCGGGAAACACATGCGAGGAGAAGGAACGTGCTTCGCATTGTTCGCAGGAGCCGTTACCATCCATTATGCGGTTTGCACTTCACACGAGGGCTTCGAATGACGTCAATCCCTTTCAAAGCAGCTGCAAACCTGATCTTTACCGGAACGCCTGGGAGGGTGTTCCTGTTGTTCACACGCGCTTTATCATCCATCATGTGGTTTTGATGCCTGTTTTGTGGTTTTCTATATTGAAACGGATACCGAGCTGTATGCCTGATTTCAGAGGAGATATTCTGTTTTGCCTTCAATTGTTCGCCAGGTTTTTTTTTTTTTTTTGCTTACAACGCCAACGACGCGAAACTTTCCTTGGCTGGTAGAGGTATACAGCTACGCTGTAAAATCTTAAAATGTTAGGTTTCTAAGTTTGAAGTAGGATATAGGTATTTTTATCGTAAATGTTACTAAAAAAACACAAACAATAAAACATCGGAGAGCATATATCTGGTCATAGCTATGCATTGACAGTTGTTTCACGTCAAAGTTATTCACGATTTACTTTCTACAAAAATTTTAACATGAAGCAAAGGTTGTAAAAGGTTGTTTTGTAAAAAAAACGTAAAAGCTAGAAATAATTTGATTCTTCCTAAAAATGATTCGTAGTGGCTACTGTCTTGTCAAATAATATAACGAGTTTGAGTAAAGTCAACAGTTTAAAAAGAAAGGTCAAAGTTGCGAGAAAAATAAATGTTTTTGATGTATTTCATTACGTGGTACTCCAGATTTCTTCCTCTAAAACTGTTGGGTCCTATTTTTCAAAGGCTTGTCAGGCCTTCCCAGGGCCTGAGAATTGAGTTAAATGCAAATAAAAACAGCCCGTAAATTTAAACGGATTTTTTTTACTAGAACGCATTTCACGTCAGCTTCCATGTAACCCGAAACCAAGCGGTCAACAGCGCAGTTACATCCTCGCCTCCCTCACAGGAGAGAAGGATCTGTGGCGCAAGCCAGCGAGATGAAACGCTGTGCTGTCCAGATGCAGTGATGTGGTTTGTCTAATGGTGAATTCCACTGGTAGATCTGGAGCGCTTCCCAAAATTCACGAGGGAGGTAAAATTCCGCTCCGTGGGACCCGCTCCGAATCGACGAGCGGAAGATGGACTCGCATTTTTGAAACGACCCACCGATTCGCCCGAGACGGTCGGCCATTCAAAATGGCCGCTGCTTGAACTAGACAAGCCGACCAACGCCTCAGCCGACTGATCTTTTCGACGACCAGTGACAACTGTCACGGCTTAGCTGCAGAAATAACACGCGACACAGGCCGGGCGAAAATATCCGCCCCCCGGAGCCCATGTCACAAATAACGAGGAAGACGTCCGCGTTTGCCGCCGTCACATACCTTTAGGCCGCCTCGAAGTGGCGGGGCACGCACAGCGATTGCCATCGGTGGAGTTCAGATTTATTTATTTATCGAAAGTACCCTCAGGGCCCGAAGGGTTTACAAAGGGGGAGAGCACATACATGAAAACAAAGATAGTAAAACAGAAACAAGTCAACAATATTAAATACGCAACAAATAAAGAAAAACAACAGGTCATGGGTCACTGCTAAAATAGTTGGTGATGGGATTTCTAAACAGGTTAGTATCAGTTATAGTAGCAATCAACTCGAGAGATGGTTCCATTCCTTGACTGTGCGGGAATGGAACAGCCTCCCCGGTTTCATTTCCCGGGTGAACAAAATAGATGTGGGTAACGTTTCGACCGTACCGTCATATCTCAGCAGACCCCCACTCCTCTTTTTCCCCCTCCAGGCCTGACCCATAAATCCGCCCCTACAAAAGCCAAAGTACAATTAATAGTTTACAATTCAAAAGATGCTTTGCGTAGCACCTTACTAAGGTTTCGTAGCCGTAAAAAACTTGCCCTGGTTCTGAAATGCTTTTAATACCATGGAAAGGGTATTGAGGCAAGACTTCAGCGCACTTAGCATTATCACACACAAAAACAATTCCACAATACTGGACTAGCATAGCGCTCCTCTGGACGTTAGTTGCATTGTTTGCATTGGTTTCATCAGGATAGCATGAATTTTCTAATCCGCTTGAGCACTTTAGGCAAGCCAGTGTTTGCCTCATCAAGAAGGGCATTGCCACTTCTTTCAACTTTCATTAAGTCCTTGTTCTTAACCTCAAGATTAATTAGTCATTGGCCAATAATTAGGAGCGACTTTAGTGAAGACACCCTTCTGAGCAGATGAGACTTCTTTCCCATGAGCATCGTCCTCTAGCTCGTACTTCTGATGCAGTTCATTTTCCCGTAACAGGCAAAGTATCACAAATTCGGAGCTCATCCTATGGTGACAGGTTAAAGGAGCAATGAAACGATTTTTCTACTTTCGTTAAATACTCTCTTAGAATCACTCCCTAACGTTAATAACTGAATAAACTTGCCATAGTTTTTTTCTTTCCAGGCAACGGCAGTACCCGCAAAAATATTCGAGAAGTATGAGCATCGTTCATTCCCTCAACTCGAAGCCAGAACAAGCGGCCACGTGACCTAATGCCTATCCTATGCCGCCAAAGTTAATTATAGCCACGCGCTAAAGTTGGCAAAATAGAAAACGCGTGCTGAGCCCTATAGGCATTGTTAGAGTTCGGCTATTCTCATCACCGTAGTGGTTGGACACGAGCTACTAGCCGAGTGTCCGCCCAGCATACCTCGGCAAAACTCACTCATGAGTGCACTCACTTACCTCACTCACCCTCACCAATAAGGCGTGAGGTGAGGGTAAGTGAGTTCATAAGCCTCGAAAACTCACGAGTTTGAGGTTGAGTGAGGGGCGTGAGTATGGTGAGGAGCATGAGTTCGGCGAATTCATGAGTTCGGTGAGTTCATGAGTTCGGTAAGTTTATAAGTTCGGTTAGTTCAGTGAGTTCACAAGTTCGGTGACTTCATGAGTTCAGTGAGGGGCGCGAATTTATGAGGTCGGTGAGCGCATGAGTTCGTTGAGGAGCGTGAGTTTATGAGGTCGGTGAGTTCATGAGTTTGGCGAGGCATATAAGGTCCCGAGGGGCTACGGGTTTGATGAGGGTTTGCGGGGTGACGTCGAGGAAGGGCGGGTCATGTGACTTCTCCGTACATTTCCGGGGAGGTTATATCAACGCTCGCTTCGCAATGGCGCTGTTAGCTCACACGGATGGTTCTCTACGAATGATGGGAAAGGAGAAATTTTGTCTATTGATTTATCTGCGCTCTCCGGCTCCGGCTCGCTTCGCGCCAGCTTGGCGTGGTCTTTTGCCGCTGGTCACTGGTTCGTGGCGGGGTGACGAGAGAGGGGTCAGGGCTCTCCCGCTCGCCTCGGCCGCCCCCGTGTAGACTGCGAGGCACCGATATACAACGGCGCTTTGTTGTTTCGTGAAGGAGGCAAACGATCGCTACGCCACTGCGCCCAAAGGAAGACGATGCCATTTCGAGGGCGCACGTTTTATGCACGGTCGCTAATTCTCGAGCCAATATTAAAATGAAAGCCGGTTGGGAACTGTCACGATTCGTCCGCATACTTGTTTGTTCAAGCTGTAGACCGGAGTTCTGTAAATAAAAGTATGCATACGCGTTTTCGTACTCGAGTAGGCCCGACACGTCGGACTTGTTTGCAATTAGGTTTAAAGGTTGCTGCATTTATTTGGTAGGATACAAAAGTTGATTCGATTATGGATTGTCATAGAAAACTTGCGGATGACAACTTTCTAGATTACATTCAAAAATAAAAAAAAATTTACTCAATATTGGTGATAACAAATTGACGTTTTATCCTGCCATCCAACAGCCCGTTAGTCGCTCAAGAGCAGGCCATTGAGCATAGTCGGAATACTGGCTGCACTCAAAAACGCTTCGCGTGCCGGAGAAAGGGTCTTCTTACTAGCTCCAAAACTACTAGGATATTAGTTATTATTCCTACATATTATTATTTACCAATAGGTACAGCTCGAGCTGGTGCACGTCCCAGTCGTTT